CCCGGTACTAGCCAGGTATAGCTAATAAAGTGGGCACTACTCGGTACTAGCCAGGTATAGCTAATAAAGTGGGCACTACTCGGTACTAGCCAGGTATAGCTAATAAAGTGGGCACCACTTATCATCATATGCAGCCATGATATAACCTTTGCTGCTTGCAAAGTGAAGTGATTCCCTCAGTGTGCACTTACACTGGACCGATTTGCACACCTCACTCACCTCTGATGAATGCAGGGCATTTATTAGCCATGTTTATTAGCCATGTCGGCCTTTTCAGTAGTATTGCAAGTACGTGTCTGCAGTGACATTAATGAAGCTTTCCTTAAATTTCAGTGTAGCATATTTGTAACCTTCATTAATGTTATCACACCTGTGCTTGTTATGCTATTTCATGTCAGTTGGCTGCCATTAAAAAGGCCCATCAGTGATATGAAACCATGTGACGCTACCTTTATGTCAAGATATCTCAGCAACAACTTAAAAACCAAAGACCAAATTTTCTGGAGATGTTCATGATATTATGAGCTAGCTTTAGTCAGGGTTCTTGCAGGTTTCAGTAAGTTAAATTTAAGACCTTTTTAAGACATTTTAAGACCATTATGAGTAAAAATTTAAGACCAACACGATGCATTACTAGAAACATTCGAATGATACCAGAAATTCTCATATTTTATGTCACTCATATCCTTAGCCCAACATCCACATATCATATGTGTTTACAAAGTGCGTTTTAATAAGTTCACGTGTTTAAAGCATGTGGGAGTGGTATTTTAAGGCTTAAACTATAAAAAAAAAAGTTTATGTATATGGCCTTTCTATATCGCGGATTTTCACGTATAGCTGATGGGTCTGGAACGTAACTTCCGCGATAGGCAGGAGATCCAGACCCATCAGCGATAGGTGAAAATCTGTTTAATCTGCCAACTGTCGCACATCTGACGTGACACTCACGCTTTCAGACTCTCACGGAAGAAATCTATATTATTCCATTATAAACCTAAAATTAGCCACATCAAAAGTGTTGGGGCAGCTCAGCAAAATGATAAACCAGAAACACTACATTCTCAGGCAACGTTTATAAACACCGACATACAAGCATTCGCGCGCCAAACATAACCGTTATACCAGCAAGCGGTATTGTGCACGTGCTTCCGTGTGCCATATGCTGACTAAAAGCCCTACCTACCTTTAAGCTACAAAAAGATAGTTAGAATGGGGCATGTTTTGATAAGTTAAAGCAAATGCTTAATTATTTAACTCCCCGTCCATATTAAATTAGTTTTGGGCAGTTATCTGTCGATGGTGATAGACCATCATCTGCTAAAAGGCCGGTGAGATTAGCATTTCCCGGCATGCCCCTGTGTCACTGTAAATGCTTCTGTCCTGTTGCATTTTTGTCGCGTGTGTCCATGCCCCCGTCATGTATAAGGACTATAATAAAGAGCGCCTCCGCTTAATTAAAGTCGTCTTTGTGTTTGGGTCTGCCAAGCGTTTATTATTTTAATATTATTATTGTATCAAGGACACCGTATCCACTGCGTCCACAATCTGATTTAAGGGTTCATTGACGCTTATTATCTACTTATGCAGAACAAAAACGTTGCATTTTAGCCAACATCTCAAATTATGAAAAGAATGTAGTCTGACTAACTTGGAAGAGGAGCGCCTTCTTAATTAAGGATAATTGTAAACCCTACAGAAATTAAATTTAATATTTTCTATAATAGAGGTCCACAACTATTTCCCGCCTAAGGCCAAATTTCATCAGCAAGACAAAGCCAAGATCCAGCGCGACAAATAAGTCCGGCAGTTGCTGCTTTTTCCTTTATGAAGGCAATTCATGAATGACCATAAAGTAAGCCAGTAAGACTCTGTTCCCATGAAATTAACCTAAAAACAAAATAACATTCCAACAGTACTGTAAAACAACAAAATGGCAACAGTTATACATAATATTAATGATATATGTACTGTCTTAAACGGTTTGTACACTGCGACAGGCGATTAATTTCGCAGACGTTGATCAGGTTAGAGCCGAGAGAAGATGTTTGGCTTGAAATATTTAATATTTTTCTGCGGGCCTGTTATCATAGAGGCCACTAGGGGTCACGCGTGACACTCGGAAAAGCGCATTAGAAATCCTACCACTGGGAACAGCCCGTGCGTTACCTTGGTGTTTCCCATCTCGTGCCGCTCAATACAAGCCGTCAATCTCTCCGGCTCTGACTTACTGAGGTCCAGGCGGAAGATCTCTGAGTTTAATTCATCGAGGTGGGTGCTTCATGAGTATGACATAAAGACAGAACAGAGGCGACCTCAGATTAACCTGTCGATGTATTTTGCAGGTGTAAAGGTGTTTTTTTATTGCAGGTGTAATGCTGTATTTTCTCGATTTCTGTTGTTTGCATGTCATATATGACATGCCATCATTTATGAATTTATATAGGAGTTAATCCTTTAACTTCTGAGAACATGAATTACTGACATGAATGAATGAATTATGACTTTTTTTCCAGGTTTCAGAAAATTCATAACAATGTCTGGATTTTTTCAAATGCTGAGGAAAAAGAAGGAAGTAAGTCTGATGTTGAGCCATTGTAATCTTTTTGTCTGACGTTTTCTATTTTTTTCCATTTATTTTTTACGTCATTTAAATCTGTATTCTTTATACTCCTTTTATATTCCATTTGCTTATTTATATCCTTTTTTGTTTATTCTGCTTATATTGTTTGTTTTATATTCTTTTCATCTAACTTTTTTTCTGTATCGGTGTCCTTCCTGGCTTTTTCCATTCTTTAAGGATAGCTTGCTAATTTCTTTGCACCTTGAGCGATGACAATAAAGGCATCGCTTCAGTCGGTCGTGCTGTTGTCACGTGCGCCTGCTTCCTGCCGCTCATGTGAATCTCTGTCCCCCAGCTGATCCCGCTGATCGGCTTCACGGCCTTTGCGGCTGCAGGGGCCACCACTGCCTCCATCTACTTCCTGCTGACCAAACCAGATGTAATGTGAGCGTCGTTCTCTTTTTTTTCTTTGCCGTGTTCTTATTTTGTGCCTTTCTGTTCTCGTTTGTGTATAAACTCTGTGGTACTGTCCAGCCTCGCTGTGCTGTTCCAGTAAGGCTCAGAAGAAGCCTGTTTGTATACTTTAATGGAGCAGTATGTCTTAATTTAATACTCGTTAGCTTATCAGCTGGCGTCAGGATGCTGGGGGGTGTTTGCCTGTGTGACGCGGTTTCATTCGATAAGCGCGCTGATCTTGCCTGGGCCGAGCAGAGACGAGCACTAACTGTGGCTTCCAATGCATCTGCAGCCTTAATAAGACCAGAAACCCAGAGCCGTGGGAGAAGCTGGATCCTTCCAGACCCCAGAAGGTATTCTCCGGGGTGGTCTTCAGCAGCTCTCTCTTTTTCCTGATAATGGTGGTGTACCGTGGTATAGGAGAGAGTTTGTTATGGTGGGGGGGGGGGCAAACATAATTTAAATATGAAGGTCTGTTTTAGTTACTCGAGGGTACATGTCACCCCCTGGTTCCTACACATGCCAGCTCAGTATTTTGACTTGATCCACAGCTCATCACCATCAACCAGCAGTGGAAGCCAGTGGATGAACTCCGGCTGGTGAAGTCTCTCACCAAGTGACCTTCTCAGAGCCTAACCGAGACCCCCCATCGCCTTCTGCCACTCACCCCCATCAGTCTGACGGAATCATTCCTGCACAGGCTAGGCTCTCTAACTACCAGTGTGCGGAAATGCTTCTGCCACATTGGTGGGGTCTGAGCACGCTCAGTTCGCCATTTGTGGTCCAAAAGGATTCTGGGAGAGCAGTATTATCCTAAAACAGCATCACTCTCACTGTGTGTATATTAGTAAGAATTAAATCTTTGTTATTGAAACAAATATGTGTGCTTTTTCTATTCAAAAACAAATGTAGTCACATAATTAAACCAAATTGTTTCAGGTGGGTCAAAAAAAAAAGACTTTTGGAAATTTTTGTGGAGATTCAAGAGTGGAATGAAAACAACAACCAGGGCCTGTATTACAGCAGGACTTCCAACTTACCTTGATCCAACTTTGGCAACTAAATTAACTGGGTCAATTACTTCACCAAGGGCAGGGAGAGGAAGAAGGGTGCTGAGCACCCTGGGCAAGTTGTGCTCAGTTTGGCACAGTAGGTGTGAAATCCAGACCTCAGCTGTAGTGATGTGACCGACACAAACACAAGATTGGATTATTTCAATTTTTAAAAATAAACACGAAATATCTTACACTGTCCTTCATATATTGTTATATAATAATCGTAATTCTTAATTATAATTATTTAAATGAAGATGAGGCAGCCATATGGATACAATTTGGTTGAATGACTCCTTCAAAAAAACAGATCAACATAAAAAAATTCCCAGAACATACATATATTTCTGTTTAACTTCATTAGAACACAAATCAGAAGATGGAGGATAACGGTATAACCAACATGTGAATCAGCACAACAAATCTAAAATTTGAATAAACATGTAAATTAGATAGATAAGTCTGTACAACAAATACGTACACAGCAAGTAAAACGGTACAAAACAACAGGTGAAACAGAACAATTTGTACATTTATAAGAAATAAAATGGTGAAATAAATATGTAAAACTCAAACACATCAAAGAGTATAACAAAATGTGGTGACACCTTTGCTTAGTGCAGTTACTTTTTCCTTAGATAGCAGGTAATCCAGCAATGCAGGAATCATTTAAATCTGTTTATGCAGTAACTTTTACTATCTGCTGTAAAGGCCATTGTGCATGAAGGCTTCATTTCATCATGTGATCCTCCCCACCAGCCTTACCAGCTGACATGGAAGCAGGACAAGGTCCCAGCCCACCTGCAGCCTGGCATCACGGCACAAACCAAGCGGCGTCCGGCCAAAAGACCCAGTTTATCAGTGAAGCCAAAGAGCACCTGGGACACAAATCTACCCTGCAGTGTTTATTTTCCTGGGTGTAATCCTCCAAGTTACAATCAGCAAAAGTAGTTATTAATGTGTTTTTTTTCAGCTTCTGGTCAATTTACAATCTGCCTCACCCTATGCTGGGAAGTCAGGTATGTAGTTACTGGTAATAACCACACCCTGGCTACAAATTTAAATGTTTCATGGTGCACATTTAATCAGAAAATAAACAGCAGACAGTAATTTCACCAATATGACCCCCAGCCCGGCGCTGCCTGCGTCAGTCGCTGGGTTCCTCAGGGACCCAGACCAGGATTAGCAGTTAGTGGGTGGATGGATGGATGACTGCAGGATCAGCACCATACTGGGACTGTGATGGTTTAGCAGTTTTTAAGGTAAAGGGTGTTCATACACACCTCCAGGATTGTGGGTTCGAATGCTGCAATGGATGTGGGGTGCTGAGTGAGTTTCCTCCAGCAGTCATAACACATGTATTTTGATGAATTGGTGTCTCTAGATTTCCCATAGTGTGCAATTTTGTGTTTGCTCAGGATAATAAATGGTCTCATTTGTTGGTCAGAAAAGGTATTTTATTTCAACTAACAAATATCTTTTCCTCACATCTTCCAAGATCCTAAATTGTCCATATGATTATCCTGTTCGTACAGCGCCAGTCACAGCATCTGGCCCACAAGTCTTACACATGGCACGATTTCACAAACACCACTGTCACCTAAACAAGATGTGACAGAAATATGAACAATAAAAAACAAGACATAGCTTATGCCAAAATGTATGAAAATATTCCAGTATTATTTTCAAGTTAAACACTGCAGATCACACCATAACCTGTTAATTATCGGATTATACATTACAGATAATACATACTGAGGATACACGCCCGCAAACTGCTGCCTTATTAGTCATGAGACCCCCTTAGGGAGTTAACCTGCCCGCCCTGCAGTTGACAAAAAGAGCTAAACGAAGGGGCAGTGTGGAAGGCGGTGGCTAAAAACAGGAACCACAGCCATGTGTGTGTGTGTGTGTGTGTGTGTGCGCGCAGAGTAACGTGTGTGTAGTGTTACAGATCGCAGTCCACAAAGGTGTCAGTTGCTGCTGCTCAGTGAGTAGCCATCTTTCTCTAGTGCGGCATGAGGCGTCGCTGCAGTGTGTCTCACCGCCTGCTAGTGCAGGGCCAGTTGGGCACCATAACAGGCCAGCTGCACCGCAAGCATGATGACCCCCCCCCCCCCCCTTAATCACAGTGTCCTGCCTCCGCACTATGACACCCCAGCACCTTTCTTCCAGGTGACATGAAGGTGACAGGGAGCAGGTCCCCCGCCACATGCCACAGGGACAGTAGAACAAGGCAGCCCTCTGTGTGGCCAGTGATGGCGGTAACACCCATTATGGCTGGGGGTCAAGGTGCAGAGATAAGGAGAGTAAACAGGTACCTGGCTTTCCACAGAAACTTAAGCTTTACAGTCGGCAATAACACCAACACCTTTAAAATATAAAAAATGAGTCAAGGTATAAGAGAGACATCTGAAAAAAAAAATGAAGATTAAGGCACCTGCTTGTTTAAAAGTATATATATATATATAAAGCCTAAACAAATACCTTCATGACATTCGGTAGTCTTGACAGAATTAAGGCCCCTTGTGGTAAATGGAAGAATTCAGCACAGTCACGAGTCACGGAGTTTTAAAAGCAGAGAAGTAAAAGCCCTATGCCAGTGTGCGTGTGGGCGACTTCCTGTCAGGCACTGAGGCGGGCACAGGTCGAGCACGTGCTAGGTACGCTGCTCCCATGGCTCTGAAGCTGGACCGTGCACTTGTAGAAGCCGTATGTATCCACCAGGAGGCGCCTGGCCTGGACCTGTACGTCTTCCCACCTGTGGCCACTAGATGGTGCTGCGGACACACAAAGAAGGACAATCGAGACTGGCTAAAGTACTTTTAAGGGTGTTTTCGTATACAAGCTGACTTACACGGACCAAACTCAGCCCTCTTAAAGTGGGCCAACAGAAAATAGACTTTCTGCGTTCACATTGTGAGTTCATTTGAAAGAGGACTCCGTTGTCTTTCTGCTCTACTTCTGCTCTGACAGGGCCTCAGTCCTCTTCCTGTTTACACTATCGTTACCAGCAGCCAGGGTTCTGTCTAGTTTTTTTTTTTGCCTTCCAGTGCAACAGCATATGGTCTGTCTACGGCAAGCCTAAAGGGCTGAGACAGAACGGCAAAAGGCGGCGGAAACCTGGAGCACTTAGTGCTCACGATGCATGGGTTCAGGACTCAAGAATTCAGGATTCTGGGCAGCGTGAGAAGGAACAAAATCAAGCACTGAGGTCCTGAGAAACAGCAAAAACCCCAAACAGTGCAATTAAAAGTATGCATAAGTATTAATAAGTACAAGTGTTAACGATATGTGCAGAAATATTCATTGTTACTGCACATGAGAATAGTCTGTAGTGGAATCTGTTATTGTACATAAAAACACTATAGGTTAAGTGAACCATAACACGGACTGACTTGAAGTGAACTGAACTGAGACCGCCCTCCTGAGCTCTGATTCATTTCAGGGGGGTCTGAGTTTGTTTGGGGTGTTATCATACACAATGAAAATGCTGACTAATCTTTCCGAGCTCATTTTGAGGGCGGAAAGGGTGTGGAAACACCCTAAAACTAAACTCAGCACTGCCGTAACACTGATCAGGCCAATGAATATAAATAGATAGTTACTTAGCTAATACTTTTAATCAGAGTCACTGAGAAAACTGTTGTACATAAAGTCAACTCTGCAGGTGAAAGAGCTTAATTCAAAGCAGAGCATGTGAGCGGAGCGTGAGCGAGGAGCGCAGCGAGCGAAATTTGGTCAGAGCGCGGAGCGGTTTTTTAATTAAGTCTCGCTCCAATTTCGTTCCGGTACCGCTCACAATACGACTCTGGGGCGTGCGCAAATCTTCCCAGAATTCATCTATACAAT